CTCCGGTTTGTCGGTGCATTTCAATTAGTTGGCGTGGATCGACGTTTTATGTGAAGCGCTATCTTTCTCTGTCGGAGCAACGAAACTCAATTCAGAAAAGGCAGCATTCTTCCAGCCAGTTAGATGCTTCCTTTCGTTTCCCCTCAGATGAATTTTCCTTGATGTACGTTAGACGGATCTGCCTTTCGAGTGGTGGTGCTCGAGAACCATGTGGGGGGATCTGCATGCTGGAGTAGAGCTTTGGCAATGGAAGACTCTTCAGGACAGGATTGAGACAGACGTTGTTAGCTTGCTTGGTGTCTCAATTCAGATGCAATGCCTTGCTCTTAGCTGCCAAATCAAGAGTTGTTGTTTGTCATGATGGCAGCCATGGCCATGCCAGACACTAAGCTTGGATGAAACAGCTTCGGGCCGCTACTAGCTTTGACCCAGCGACTGGACGAAGGAGTGGCCTCAACCCGTGGTTATTGTGCCACGATTCAAGCTGCATCCCAGGAATTCGTTGGTCAGGACGTAGCACTTCGACTCCAGCTATGGAGATGGGATCTGTTGGATTGAGATGGGGGCTGTTTCTTGGCAGGTCACGCTTGGTCACGGTTGGTTCTTGTTTGGAAAGACCGGCGCAGATTTTGCCGAAATCTGCCACTTGTTTGCTGCCTCCAGCGGAAATATCGATGGGCCTTTAGATGTCTCAGAAATTGCACATGCAACTGATGTGCATCTACATAGCCAGTGGTCTTGAAACAGCATTTCAATCTGACTTGCTCCTAGAGGCTGTTCCACTTGCAATCAGTCACTGTTCTGGACGAGAACAAGCCTTGGCTCGCCCGTCCTCCCGGGTTTGAAGCAGCCACTCGTGTCCGTACCAAAAATGGCTGATGTACTGAGTTCTCTGTTGCCGGCTCTTGGCGGCGCCTGTTGTTTTTGACTTTTTCTTGAGCTGCAGACCCAAGCACTTCAATCCATCTGACTTTTCCAACACGGTTGACTTGATGGATATGGCTTGCACTGGAACAAAATCAGGTTTCAGAACTTGGAGAGTGGCATGATTGCCTCTCAGCGCTGAACTTCAACTTTCACATGACGGGGAGATTCACCCTGGCCTTCAGCCGACCTTGATCAGAGTGCACTACTTTGGTCCACTCTCTCAAGAAGCCAAGGTGCTCAAGCAGCCTTTGACTTCTAATCCTGTGAAAACTAAGATAGGTTTGGAAGATAATGTACCTTTCAAGAAACGCAATCGTTCAGGTCCCACGTCAACTTCCAAGTGTGTAGTTCTGAACCAACTGCTTTAGCACCAATCTGAACTTGTAACTATGCGCTGTGCTGCGGCTCTGTTTCGGTACGCCAGCAAAAGGAATAGGAACACATAGAGGTAATGGTCAAAACGCCAGTGAACCCTAAGATAGCCGGTAATTATGGATGTTCATCTTCCCATGTTGGTGTTTTAGGACCTAACCCATCCCAATAGATCACCACAGTTTGAGTGCATCTAGGTCAATCAATACACCTGCTTGGTCCCTGGTGGGTACAAGACTTCAGGAAGCTGTCAACAATGGAAGCCTCGCAAGCTGAGTGCCATTTGTCACAAGACTCTCATGCAGCTTCGCAATTTGCTGGCACGGTTGGTTGGACCCTTGGAGTGGCAACATTGAACGCCGGAAACAACATGAGGCCCGAGTGCGGCACAGCACAGGGTCTCGTATTGTTTCAGATTGAAATATGTGCAGGGACATGTTGGACTTGTCGGACATGTCGGGCATGGTTTGTCAGTTTGAATGCGTTGATTAGTGCCCCAGCTCGCTTCGAGTTCCGTTTGAAAACGGAGTGTGCTGTGTGATTCGGAGGGCCAGTTTGAGATTGTGCGCGAGTGGCGTAGAACTGTGTCAGAGTCAAGTGAAGCTCCTGCATATAGCTGATTCAAGGACCTGCAAAAGGTTGTTGCTCAACATGGTTCTGCAAAAGACAGCTTCAATCTACTTGAACAAGAATTGATACCTGGGATGATCAATGACTTTCCATACTTTCCTGTTTTTCAGGGCGATTGACAGCTCGAGGACGCAATTTTCATGGCTGAAGCCTGAACTTCGCAGCATGGCGGAGTTGATCTCCGACGCTGCTGCTGTGGACAGCTTGCGGGTGCCTTTGGGTGCCGTGTGGCGAACCAGACTTGATGGAGATCCTGCTTGAGAAATACAAGGAATAGCAGTGAAAATTACAATACATGGCAGGAATCCCTACCCAAAATGAGGTAGAACTACTTACCACTTTTTGGAAATGAATCGGGCAGCTTAAGCCCAAATTAAGCCATGCTTGCAAGAAGTCAGGATTTGCATCTTAGCCACAGCACCATACTGAAGTGCGCACCTAGCAGTTCCTGCCCTTCCAAACCTGATGTCGCGAAGACTGCGAAGATGTCGCTGGCTGTGGCATCCACTTGGTCCCAGTGTGAAGCCAGGTTCCAAGTTGTCGCTTTTTCAAGACGTCTTTGTTCCCTTCCCTCTTCCCTAGCTCGGCCTCGGATGCCTCGGATGCCTCGGATGCCTCGGATGCCTCGGATGGCCGAGCCGGCCATGGTTTGAACTTGCCATCCATGCTGCATGATATCCAGAATCTTTGTGTCTCAGACTCCAGGTGTGCAGGATGTACCACACTGCATTGCGTCTCGGGCAGGGAAACCTCTGTCCGCACCTGAACCATTTGGTTCTTCTACCATTGTGACGCAAACTCGAAGACGAGAGGTCCGCCTGGAAACCTTCTGGAGCGGACAGAGTCCTTGATGCGATCGTAGGGTCTTCTCGACAGAAGCACTAAGCTCACTAGATCCCTCTTGATCCGAATTTTCATACGCCTCTGCTACGACAAGGGAAGGACTGTGCCAGGCAACATGCCACGACGGAAGTTCCAGCATCAGTGAATGGGATCCAATGCACTAAGAATTCAGAAAGCCTGGTGGATGAGTTGGAAGTGGGAAAAATGGGAGGTGATTGTGTGGAGGCTGGGGGTAGGCAGCAACTCAAGGCACGCCCAGCAATGTATGTTGGATGCTGCTTGAGCATTGATGCATAGGAACGCTGCATGTTGCTGAGACAACCCTCTCTTTTCTCTGTTTTCATGCAGCTCATCGAATGGATGGCAGTGGGCCCTAATATGGCAAAGCTAAGCAGGTCTCAAGACCTCAGAAGGCTTCTGCAACGTCAATGAGACGCCACAAACTCTTCGAAGAGGACCATGAAAAACTTGAGTACAGCCTATACAGCTCAAAATTGCAGTCACCAGCGCCCGAGTTTTGCCTTTCTTCCACAAACCTAGATTCCGATCGCGGGTTGAGCACTGTCCACAGTTAATTGGCATGTGCGGGGACAGCATGCCGAGTCAAACTCATCATGGAGCCGCTAATACTTAGAGTGTAGCAAGCCTCAGTAGAGCTAAGTAGGCCTTAATGAATTTCCTGTGGCAGATGTCCCTGGTTCCCACCTGTCCGGCATGTCTTACTGAGCCAAAGCCTCCCAGATATTCTGCAATCATTTGACCAATCCCTCCGGATAGATCAGTTGCCGAGCTCAAGAAGCCAAACTTCATCCAACTTCTGTGAGGTGGCAACCATGATCCCCAGGCACCCCTCTTGCTTGTCGAGGGAGTCTGGTTTGGTAGACAGCTCATAGTTGGCAAAGTCAATTTGAAAAACGTCACATCAAGCAATCATCTTTTTTGATTGATAATATCAGGGGATTCCCCATTCAGGTTCAAAGCAGATGAGGTCTTATTATATTCAATTCGCTCAATCCCAGCCCCAGTTTTCTCTTCCTTCCACTATGGGAAGCTTCTGTCCAATTAGTTTCTTGAAGCCAACTGGCAGCTTGCCTGTCGGCTGCACTGTGAAATCGCAGCTGGTTCGTCATCAGTAGCAAGTTACGTGAGATTCTCCGAAACGGACATGCCTTACTTCTGAAGAGGGTCAGATCCTAATCAAACTGATGCAAGTAGTTTCGGAGACCAGCCAAGAGTCGAATGGGCTCTTAAGTCAACCATTCTTCTTGGCGACTCATCTTTGGGAGGGGACTACTTGTCAGACTTGTCAAGCCTCCTGACTTGCGTGTCACCCGCTCCACCATCAACCTGAGCCCTTGGATGCACTGAACTTCAGCCGTCTTCCCCTTCAGCTTCTCCGGAGCTTTCGCTGAGTGCATCATGATGGCTGCCGACATAGTCATTTCGACACCTCTGCGCAGCGCTGTTTAGTGAGATCACCCCATCCACCGGGGCCCATGCTTTGGCTCCAAGGCTGTGTGTCGTAGTGGCGGACAATCAAAGTGACACTTCATGCATGGCTGCGCCCATCTAAGGTTGACCAAAGCAATGGAAATCAAAGTGGGAGTTGCTCAAAGATAGTAACCCCCAGAATTGGATGTTGTGAACGCAACATAACCAGCCATTTGTGTGTTCATTGGCACACCAGTTTTTGAGCAATGCCAGGTGTGCAGTGAGAACAACTCCAGACAGGGGCTGTACTATGGCCATGCGAATAGCATGGCCAGCCATTAGAGATCACATGACGATGCAGACGATGCACCATTTGAGCAGGTCCTGAAAATCAGGATGCTGCTTGAGTGCTTCGGATGCAGTCGGATGTGGCTGCTGTTGACGAAAACACGTGGGGGACATTTGAAACTGGACCAGTTCGGACTGTACGTGCAGTGGTGGCCCCTGGAATTTAAAGTGCTGAAGGATGGTACATAGATTTAGAGAACGTACTTTGTTGTCTCTTTGTCAAACAATTGAGGGGATTTGTCAGTGTATGACGAAATCATGCTGAATAATTGGTGAAAAGAAAGTTGCGGCATTTGTTGTGACGGGTAGAGGTAGAAACAACTGGTCTGAGACACGAGTTGCGGTGCCCCCAAGTCCTAGATCCTTGGGCGGAGCTTTAAGTTTGGCTTCAAGGATGGCAAGATGATCTGCCAAGGATGAAACATGTCAGGTAGTCCAGACCGGTCCAGATGGTTTTTTCATGTTTTTTCTATCATGGATTCCTCGTAGGTCGCAATAGCCATGCCATGGAGACGTGGATTAAGTCGAAAGCAGATCAGTTCGCGCAGGACGCTGCGGGCTTGGTATAGGGCCTAGGGGAAAGCCCGGTGTCGTACCAAAATGGCTGGCAGCTATGGACTTTTAAGGCACCAAAATATCGGAATATGATGGAATATGAATGTCTTGACCATTTTGACCCATCCTTAAAACAACCAAAGCAATTCGTGGGCCCCAGCAGGTCCAATTTTCATGCATACCGATGCAACATAGTGTAATGATGTAATGCATCGTTTATTGCTTGTAATATCTCCGGTTGCTATTCACCGCAACATGCCAGTTCGGGGGGAAAAAAACATCAGACCTTTGTTGGCTCGATCAGTTGTATCATTTTGTAGATCATTGGCTTTTCCCCAGCGCTTGGGCAATACCCCTGGCCCTATATCGTCAAGTGCTGCATGTTGGTCGTTGTTTGGAGGCGGCTCATCAGCAAGTCAATGCCGTCCATCAATCTGCCTCAAGGCTAGCAGAGGACGTTGCTGAGCGGAAGCGGGGCTGGTGTGGCCATGGGAGATTTGTTTCCCTGTCAAACCAAAGAGAAATGGTTTGAAGTGTGCCGAAGTTGAGAAAAAAAGTTGAGGTTTATGGTAACCATCCTTGAGTCGGTAGAATATCCCGCATTTTTCATGTCATTGAGATGCTTGTCCTGCTTGGAATGGTCCAAGTTTCCATTCTATCTAGTTCCAACAGGTGTAACAAACATACCCCATGGATGTTTTTCTTGGGGATTGGACTGGCATTTCTCCATGCTGTGCAACTTCAATTTCCGTTGCTTTCAGACATGGGTGTCTCCAAAACTGGAGTCCACTCCTGCCAAGTTATGGCCATCAAATAATATTGAAAAAACCAGAAAAAATTGAACCACAGGATTGGGGGATATATGATATATATATAGATATATTATATATATATATACACATATATGTACATACATATATATGATATATATATATTATACACAATTATCCAACATTTTCAGACACAGCCATGTCTGATTTCAATGGAGCGTTCAGGTTTTACCCTGGGATTCCAGCTTCGACCGCTCCGCTCAGGTCTTGCAGAAAGTGACACACCGCGAAGACGATGATCGGAGGGAGCGAACTTGGGGGGAACCGATTCACAGCGACAAGGGCTGCTGGTCGATTCTGGGTTCATTGAAATGGGGGATTCCCCAAGGTCCATGAGTTTCAATATTGAACTGGTAGAATTTTAAGGATGATTTGGGGTACCACATTTGAAGACACCACCATTTCGAAAAAAGTACTTTTTATAATTTCCATTGCCGGTTCGTTTCCTGTGCATTCCTCATTTGTTTCCCATCTATCCCCTATTCATTCCCCAGGTATCGCATCCTTGTTTCCAGTTGTTTTTCCACGTATTTCCACGTATTTACATCTTATTGTTTTTTCCACATATTTCCACGTATTTCCATCTTACTCACAACTGACTGGTCAACAGGCACCCTATGTACGTGTTGCAAAGATTTGGCGCACGGCACATTTTGATGTCCTGCGCGATACAACAGCTTTCCATGAGATTCGCTGAGTATTCATTTAATATGATAAAACTAAACTGCCCAAAGGCTTGCCATGTACTTCGCAATTGATACAGGGGGCGTGCCGTGTATGCGAGTAGTTGCGGTAGAAGGAAAGTCTGCCCGCTGCAACTCTGCAATAGTTTTGCACAGGCGTTCTGCACTTGGCAGGACTTGGAATTTCGAGATGGACCATTAGGGTTTACCCTGGAGGGAAACCTTGTGGTGGCTGTGCAGCCAAATTCTCAGGCGGGGCTTCCCAATTTTGCATCGGCTTGTCGGGTTGCTAAGCTGCGATGCATTTTTGAACATCGCAAGCCTAGACATGGTTTCCAATGGTCCCTTTTTTTAGTTCCCCTCAAATTTTCTCTTGTTCATTGATCCCTCGGGTGATTCCTACTTCGTTCCCCACTTTTTGTTTAGATAAAGAATTGGTTTCCTGTGGTTGATTCCCAAAAACGATTCCTACTAGTTGCTTGATTCAAAATTGGTTTCGACACATGATTACATTTTTTGAGTTAACTATAACTATAACTATAACTACAACTATAACTATAAGACTTTACTAGTAACACTTTTGTATTGAGTTCATGTTGATTCCCCACCGTTGATCAACGGACCGTCAGGCGGAACGCCTGGGTGTCGCCATCGGTGACCGCTTGGTGCGAGTGGACGGCTACGAGGCGAACTATGGGAGGACTATTGCCATATTTGGTTGTTATCCTGACTACTGTATAATATATAGTTATATAATAGTATAGTTATTATTATTATATTACTTAGTCTTGCCATTAGTACAAAAATATTTATTATAGATTGAGATGCTTGAAATTCTAGATCATCTTGTAAAGTATAGAGATTACAGATATTACAGGAGAGATTAGAGGAGTAATGCCAAGCAGTGTTCAAAACCCTTGTTGGCTGGTTATCATAAGAAGTTATTATACTATTCAATATATTGGGGACTATCATCAAATCATTCATTATGGGAATCCTGTTCCCAACCACTATAAAGTGATGACATTTCGTGTTTTCAGCACTGCTCAAATCCCATAGTGTTGGCTATACATCCCGCAAAAAAAACCTTCATCAACTCCGAATATGAATTTGGTCTATACTGAATATACCATGTTTGGTTAATATTTCATGAACCTGCGAATATTAATTTGGTCTATACCATGAAAATTATGGGACATATACCATGGTATATGAAATACCAGCAGGATTAGACTATTTAAATCCCATGTTTGGTCTATATGTTTGCTGGTTGAGTCCCATTTCAGATGTCTCTTTCCAGGTTCCAGATGTGGAGTCCGGTGGCTTCGAAGAGCAACGGGCCAGGGCTCTGATCACCAAGTGGCTCAAGGCCGTGCCGGTGACGCCGGTGATTTCACCAAGATTTAAGGGTGAACCATGGTGAACCAATGCGAATGGGTGATCAAAGAACCAGAAATGCTGGTTGAAGTATCAACAAATGCTGGTCTTTTTTCAATGAAACATGATGAAACATGGTGATTCAAAGATGTTCAAACATCAAAAATTCTGGGACTGTCCTTGGGTTGAAGATACAGTGGCAAACAATTGCATTGATTGCTAGTTATATATCCGAATCTTTCAGGGTAATATTTTTGTGATATCACCATATGGGACTGGCATAAAATGATCTTGACCCCGTGTATTGGTTTATCGAAGGCTTCGAAATCAGTGAGCCGCATACATATTCCACTGATTCTAAACGGAGATGGGTCAAAAATTCGATTGGTTTGGCATGGTCAGTTCTGTAGTCATTCCAGTCTTGAGCCTGCAGACTGGTTAGCAAACTATCCAAATCCATGGGTCTACACCTGGGCCGAAAATAACATAAGCCACATGACTTACTTGAAAATTTGTATGTTTGTCATCCTCTTTGGAGGTTTATCAGCTGGCTTTCCGACATTACTTGGGATTTGCAGTCGCGGCAGGATATGCCGCGACCTGGTGTGCTGACGTTCGAGTTGCCGGAGGAATTCTCTGATGAGGTGCTGATTGGCAAGGAACACCTGGAGGACAACTACCACAGAAAAATGGTACCCTCTGGTAAACTAACATAACTATGGAAAATCACCATTTTTAATGGGAAAATCCACTATAAATGGTCATTTTCAATAGCTATGTTAAATTACCAGAGGGTAAAAACCATGAAGCCACATTTTTTCTTTTCATTTTGCTTAAATCCATCGAAAGTGGCCTATTTTCCGAATGGATGGGTAGGTTCATCCAACAATGGTGACATGGTTCCAATGGTGAAACTTCAGTTTCATATGGGGCCCCATAGGGTCATCAAGTCAATTATATGGTTGCCCCCAAAGATGCCAAGATGGTTTATGAAAAAATAATGCAAGTCCAAATACATAGGATCTTCACTTTTTTGACAACATCTGACCAGGAGATTCGTAGCAGAAACGAGATTTGATCAGCAAAGTCACTCAGCCAGTCTTGGTTGATCTTCCCCGTTTTCTGGTTGCGTTTCCCCTGCCATCAACTGCTTTGAGGGTGAGCCGGTAGAGCAAGATGCTCCCACCTCTCCGGAAGCTCAGGATGAGGTGTGGCCAAGAGAACTTGATGGGGTAATGGGGATACAGCGGGATAGAGATGGCCAGGAATGGGAGCTGGGATCGGTGGAGCAAATGCTGTTTTGAGCAGAGTTTTTTTTTTTTTGGGGGGGTGCCTCATCTTCGGACAAAGCCAGATGAAGAATAGATTGACTAGATTGAGTTATCCTTGAACATAAGAGTCTGTCACCAGGATCGTCGTTTTTTGATTTTGCTCTCCATTTCAAAACCTTGTATTTTGTGAAAATTCCTACGCAAGAACATCTGCCAACGTGCACTATCCACATGATCCAAATAATTGTCGATATCAGATGATAAAAAAACAGGAATTAATGCAACAAACTTCTTTGATAAATCTTTATTTGAGCATATGTTGCCATACTAATGGATATGGAGGTTTCATAGGGACACCCCCAAATTATCCAAATTTTAATGGGATTTTTCGTTATAAACCATCCATTTGGGGTACCCCCCCATTTTAGGACACCCGATCAACATCCGAAGTGTCAAGCCAGGCCAGTGCCACGGCCAAATCCACGGCAGTGCAGGTGCTTCAGGCGGGGGATGACCTTGAACCATGGGGAAAATGATGAGAAAAACAGGGTTTACACCAAGGGACTTTGATAGGATTTTGGCTATGGATCAATAGCTATAAATAGATTTTTTAGGGGGGATGTTCACCATACAAGATTTTGACCCATCCCCATTTTAGGGCTAGCCAATTTCTTGGGCAGCAATTTGTGCCAAACTAGCCTTGTTTATCAGTCTGTTTTGTGGCTGCGTTTGAATCAAAGCCAGTTCAATCGTCGAACGACAGAGACTTTAGATGACTTTCGCGCAAGCAAAGACATACGTGTGACAAGGCCCAGCCGTGTTAGCATTTCTCTAAAATGGCAGTGTGTCAAAACCAATAGTACCCCTGTAGTTCACATCAAAATAGCTGGGATTTATGGATGTTCATCCCACTAAAAAATGGTATTTTCATAGGTATTGATCCATACCCAAATTGGAAGTCCCATAAACCATCCTCTCGTTGATCCAGTCATCATCCATGGCTGGAACGGCGCAACTCGCGCCAGGGCGAGTTGCAGCGAATCCAAGAGGAACGCCGAAAACTGTCCTTGGAACTCCAGGCTGGGCATGGAGCAGCTATGGGCACCCTATGGTACCATATGGATAGGGGGTTGAACGTGGTTGAACATGGTTGAACATGGTTGAACATTCATATATAATCATATATAATATATATATATTTTTCCAGCTATTTGAGTGCTCATGGGGTATCAATGTCCAAATATTTGGGCTCACACCCATATATTTTTGCCATGTTTTTTTTTGATGTTGGCAAAACGGACCGTTTTGGATCGATGTTCAGAATTTATTTGCCGAGGGAGAACCGAAATTTCTTCAACCACGACGAAAGTTTTGGTTCTATAATGTATCTTTTTGATGATTCATCATTTAATCCATAGAATTGTTGTGTATCGACCAGTTCTCTCCCCAACGTTCTTTTGGCTTCTTCAGTTTTGACACCATGTTCGCTGTCATCAACGGCAGCTGGTTCAATCCCAAGTTCTTTTGTTAAAACATTGATATCAAATCACTTCCAATTGATGACCAATTTTCTTGCGTAAAGGAGGTGTCACCGGCGTGGGTTGGCCCAGCGTTTTTCCGGCGTCACGTTGGCCCAGGAGAGCCAAGAGCAGCGTGGGGCGCTGACCGCCCAGTTGGAGCAAGTGAAGCAGAAGAGCGACCAACAGCTGCGACGTTCCGCTGATCTGGAGGAGATCAAAGATGGCAGGGCTTTTTTAGCGGGGGAAAGGGTTCCCCATTGCTGGGAGATTTCGATGATTTTTGCGGTATTTTTTTGGGATAAATGGAGGGTATGTTAGTAGATCCAAAGGACAATCCGCCAATCTACCCTGCAGATGGAACGGATGCGCCATGTGTCAGGACCTGGGCTATGTTTGCCTCATTGAATCGATGAAACATCGGCACATTTTCTCAATGATCTCAGCGGAATGGAACGCTATGGAACACTTGCAGATTTAGATAGTAAAACATAGTAAGACAATTTTTTAAACCCTTTGCTTTCAGAGTTCCAGACTGAGATTCGCAGTGATGATCTTCCAGAGGAGCAGCTCCAAGTATTGCGGAGCCAACACAAGGAGGGGAGGGTCAGTGGGTGGAATGTGGCAATGCACACTGCGGAAGAATGGGATCTTCATACCAATATCTTGACTCTTCACCGAACAAATCCAGATGCACTTGCTGAGACTGCAGATTCGAGTCTGATACAAGTGTTGAATCTGATCATTTTAGACATTGTCAGTGAAACCATCGCATTTTTGGCTACCAAATTTGGAACCAGACCTAGCCCCCTGTATTGACCTATCCTAGTATAACATGAATCTCCCAACAGAACTGTTTTGGAAGATTCTGGAAGATTCTGGAAGATCGGTTCGTGAACATTTGCATTTCTGAAGCGGCGTTGCCATACCGAATTTTCCGGCGGTGTCACCAATGGCATTCACATATTTCACGACTAAGGGGCTTGGATTTTTGCTTTCAGCGCTAGCACATTGTGACCCCTCCAGAAAGGAAAGGAGCCAATTCATCTGCGTTGCCCTCGGCCGATCCTTCAAAAACCCTGGTTTTCTACCATTTATTTGTCGAATACAATGATGACATCCCAAGGGTTTCGAATCTATCTCGGCATCAACTATCACATCTGGACCCGCATCATCACCAACCTTGGATCACTGAGAATTGGTGCGGTGAAGGAGATATCGGAGCTGCATCTTGAAACACTTTCGAGTGTAAACTCAATGGATTCGAAGCCGACAGCTTTCGATTCGATCTTTCCTGTTTTCCATCATTTTCCATCATTCTTTACTTCGACCATTGACAGCTTCGTCTTCGACAGCTTCGACCGTGTGTCTTCGACGTCGTTGTCTCTCCCGACGCATTTCCGTCACTTCGACGAAGGCTACGAGTCGTTGACGCTGCACGACCTGTGGAGCCACTGCCGATCTCTCGCAGTGACTACCGAAATATGTCAAGCAGCTGCAATGTTTGTTCTATGAGAATGTAACCAATTCCTCACCCACATACACCTGGCAATATGTGGTCTGCCCTGCCCGTTGCAGTTATGTGTCAAACTTGATTGATCCAAAATTGTTTCAAGGCGAGATGTTGAACTACTTTGCCGAAGGAAAACGGTGTCGGGTTCTTCAATGCAATTATAGCAATGTCTGGTGCGTTGGGAGAGGCAGGTTTGCCGCCGAGCATTGAACATTGGATCCACTCCCATCCCAAAGTGCGGCCCTGCGACTTGGACAGCAACAGCAGGTACAAATCTGGCACTCCTGCTCTGTGGCATTCATTGCACATGGCGGAGGTCGTGGAGAATGACACCTGAGACTGTGAAGGGCAACTCGAGCGCAGCTCCACGACTGGGTTTCAGCTACAAGGTGGGCGCAAAGCATCGTTGCGCCTGCGGCGAAGACATGGCACAACGCCTCGAAGAATGTCAATTCCTGTACAAACAGAAACCGACCTCCACCTGGTGGGGCTGGGAATTTCTTCAAATAGATGGGGTTCGCGCAATGCAGAAATGAACATTTGCATTTCTTTGGGGGTTGAATATGTGTGCCATGGTCAAGAACTGGGCTCATAGATCCATATTGGGGGATGGTCAAAAGTAATGAGTAATGAAGTTTTTTTTTTTGTGGCCAATATAATGATTTCCAATTTCATGCTGGGGTTGAGATGACCATGCCCCATTCATTCCATGTTTTGAGCATGGCACAGTGAAATTTCACGCACCACTTGGGCCATCAGGAACTGAAAGAGCTTCACCAGGCCCTGTCATCTGAATCTTGCATGGGCTTTGGCTGTTCCAAAAAAACTTTGGGGACACTTTAAGGCCACAAGGGAAGATGCTGGCATGTTTGATATTGCGCCCATTTTCGAGCACAACAGTTCGTTCAGACTGAAGCCATCCTAAATGACAGCATATAGAGGTAAACAGAGCCTGAACGGAAATGGTAATGCCTGTGGCTCAAAACTTAGGTATGAAATGGCCCCACACATTTGGTCATTTTCGGTCTTAGACTATCCAAGTTTGGGGGTCGATAGTTTTTATTTGAGTCGCTCCGTGACGAGCACCGCCCGTACCCCGATGGTTTGAAGCGGGGCAGGGAAATCGTGCGGGTCGGCTGAACATGGGCCCAACCTAAGCCTAATTGGGCCAAACTTGGCCGTACTTCGCCTTAAGTTGAGCCGAACACGGGCCGGGCCCAACTTGGGCTAACTTGGACCACTTGGCTCCAACTCGGGCCCAACTTGGGTCCAACATGGCGCAACTTGGGCAAGTTTGTCGGCGCAACTTGGCCCGTGTGGGGGTTGGGCCCAACACAGGCCCAATTGGGGGAGGTTGGCTCAGCACACATCTATGAAAACGGGAATAGCGGTAAACGTGCACGTTTTCAGCATTGCGCGTTGTTGGCCCGTGTTGGGCTTCGACCCGACCGCAAGTTGAGTCCATGTTATGCATGAGTGAAGGGCTCAAATTGTCCAAATTGAGCAGGTTGTTTTCTGGTTTCACAGACCTGCAGCTCCAGAGCTCATTCCAGCAGACCAAGCCACACAAGGCTGATGGTTCAGAAAACCGGGAAAAGAGTTCGTCAGCAATGTGGCGTGTGTTTTTGTTGCCCTGGTACTTGCCTATGGCCTATGTAAAATTGGAACTTGTCAGATCCTGTCGAACTATGGTTTGCTGGATGACGGAATGGGAGATTCCCGGTTGATGAAAATCAGTGGCACATTGAAAAACTACTCTTTTGTGAGAACTGGGCACTGCACTAGAGTCACTAGAGGGAACCTCATCAATATCAAGAAAGTAATTTAAATTAAAGTAAAATAATTTATGACCGAAGGAAGTTTAGAAGTCAAACTTCCGACAATATGGACAGATGAAAAGCAGAGCAGGGCAGAGGCAGAGAGAAGAGGAAGATTAGAAGAGAGAAGATCAGAAGAGAAAGAGTAAGAAGAAAGAAGATGCACATGCGCGAAAAGGTAGGAAAGTCGCGAAACACTGTGTTTTTCCAATGATTTGTGGCTCCGGAGGGTCGAAAAGTAGGCTCGCTAAAGCGGCGGGTGCGGAGCCAGCTGGCCACAGGAGCGATGAAAAATTGCACGCCGTTGTGGCGCGAAGCACATTTCCAAGTCAAAATGTACAAAACACCCCATTCTCGGACCCCTTTTGGAAGTTGAGATGTCGAAAAAGTGCACGCCGTTGTGGCGCGAAGCACATTTGGAAGTCAAAATGTACAAAACACACCAATGTCGGACCACTTTTGGAAGTTGAGATGTCGAAAAAGTGCACGCCGTTGTGGCGCGAAGCACATTTCCAAGTGAAAATGTACAAAACACACCAGGTCCGGACCACTTTTGGAAGTTGCGATGTCGAAAAAGTGCACGCCGTTGTGGCGCGAAGCACATTTCCAAGTCAAAATGTACAAAACACACCATTCTCGGAGCACTTTTGGAAGTTGAGATGTCGAAAAAGTGCACGCCGTTGTGGCGCGAAGCACACTTTCAAGTCAAAATGCACAAAACACCTCAGTGTCGGACCACTTTTGGAAGTTGCGATGTCGAAAAAGTGCACGCCGTTGTGGCGCGAAGCACATTTCCAAGTGAAAATGTACAAATCACCACATGTTCGCGCCACTTTTGGAAGTTGAGACGTCGAAAAAGTGCACGCCGTTGAGGCGCGAAGGCACATTTCGAAGTAAACATGTTCAAAACACTAGGGGTTTGGACCACTTTTGGAGGTTCAGATGTCGCTTCGCTTCGCTTCACTACAATAGACGACATTACACTACACTACACTCCACCACACTACACTACATTACACTACACTCCACAACACTACAACTACAACAACGCAACTACACTCCACTACACTCCCCTACACTAAATTACACTACACTACACTACACTCCACTACACTACATTACACTACACTACACTACCTTCCACGACACTTGACATCACTTGACTGCATTACGCTACATTACAATACATTACATTACATGACACTACATTACACTACACTACACTGCACTATACTACAACTACAACTGCACAACTACACTCCACTACATTACATTACACTACACTACACTACCTTCCACTACACTTGACTACATTACACTACATTACACTACACTACGCTCCACTACACTACAGCTACAACTACACAACTACACTCCATTACACTCCACTACACTAAATTACACTAAACTACACTACATTACACTACACTACAGCTACAACTACAACTACACAACTACACTCCACTACACTCCATTACACTCCACTACACTAAATTACACTACACCACACTTCATTACACTACACTACACTCCACTACAACTACAACTACACAACTACACTCCACTACACTCCACTACACTCCATTACACTCCACTACACGAAATTCCATTACACTACACTACATTACACTCCACTACACTCCACTACACTCCACTCCACACGACTACACTAAATTACACTAAACTACACTACATTACACTACACTACACTCCACTACAACTACAACTACACAACTACACTCCACTACACTCCACTACACTCCATTACACTACACTACACTACATTACACTACACTACACTACATTCCACTACACTCCACTACACTACATTACACTACATTACACTGAATGACACTGCACCACAGATAGACAGCAGGTAGACAGATAGACAGATAGACAGATAGATAGATAGATAGACAGATAGACAGCTAGACAGGTAGACAGCTAGACAGATAGACAGATAGATAGATAGATAGACAGATAGATAGATAGATGGATAGGTAATTAGATGAAAAAGAGAGAGAGAGAAAGAGAGATAGATAGATAGATCGATAGCTGGATAGATACATAGAAAATAGATAGGTAGGTAGGTAGATAGGCAGAGAAAGAGAGAGAAAGAGTGAGAGAGATCAAGCACCTTTCGGTCCATCAGTGGATTCGCTCTGCCATCCCTGATTCACAACAACCAACCTCTCCTATAGGTTTCCTATTTTTGAAGCTTCCGCCACCGCCTTGTGCGGTACTACTGGTAAACTAAAATTATTTATTATCTTTGATTTCTTCTATCTTAAAGTGGGTTCATCTGTAACTTGCAGCCAAGGATTTGGTTAGAGGATGTGGATTCATGCATGATTTGCAGGTGTTTTAAGGCCCAGGATTGATTCATTGGACCTCGTCTTGCTGTACAGCCATGGGGAAGAAGGATAAGAAGAAGAAAGACAAAAAAGAGCCCTTTGGCCTTATATCTAAAATTTAGCACTGAAGTGTGAGGAAATGTTGTGGTTTCATGCTTTAAGCTTCAGTCAGTCTTTGATTATTGTATCTGTGAATTGGTGCAAAAAATGCTAGATGGATAGACTGGGTTTCCCCTGGTTTTGCATAAACATATTAATATACATGTCAAATCACATTTGCATAAACAGATGTTAGCAGTGCACAGTGCTTTCCTGTGGATGCCAATCTCAGTGCTCTGGTGGATGAATTTGAGTTTGTTTTCCTATGTTTCCCTTTGCCTCCTTTGGCATGGCAGCTGAGGCAATGATCATAGATTCACAGCAGCTTTCCATCCTACTCTGAAAATAGCTTCCAAGTCCAAGTCTTTCAACTACAGAGACCAAGTGAATTGGTCAAAGATGTTGGGTCTTGTACATGAGTATGCTTGGCACACCTGGGCTGAGCAGTTGTCTGGGAAACCTAGCTACAAGCTAGAAAGTTCGAAATGCCAGACCCCTGGTGTTGTGGATCAAGATGTGATTGCTATTTTGAAGGATACAATCACTTCACTGCCACCTGTGACAAAGTATGCAAAGACCTGAGATGTACAGAAAGAGGGTGTGAAAAGCTTGGCTGAGATGTGCAGAGTGGAGACCAAGAACACTGCATGAATTGGCATGGAGAATGAACATGATGTTGTATGGAGCATGGGCATGATCTGATATGGTATGTTTAATTTTATTTTCTAATATTCTATTTTTTATATTATAATATATTTTTTTATATTATATATTATTTTTTAAAATATAGTTTATTTTTCTATATTTTCCATATGTTTTCATATTTTGTGATAATATTTCATATTTTTTTCATTTTTACATATTTGGGCTCCTGGTTTGATGAAGGGCCTTCTGATGAAGGGCCTTGGGGTTACAAATGAACTACCACGCCCCCGCGCCTTCAGTGCGGGCGGATTTGCGATGCACAGACTAGCCACGTTTCATTCACATGTCATGGGTTAGGTTCGCATTATGAAAACTTTACTAGTATCATCATGTATCATCCCTAATATTACTAGTACTATCATTCTTATTTTCACCGCTGTCATGATTTTCATTTTGCGATTATCATTGTGATCAGTAGTGTGATGATCATTGTCATTATTATTGTTTTACCATTATAAGAACTACTGTATTTTTTTGGTAATAGTTGTTATTATTGTTTTTGTTATTGTTATTGTCGCTACCATCATCCCTTGCTGTTGAAATTTCTGCGTTCCCAAAATGTGCCGGCAAACTCGCACTGAATCCCAGGCCTTAGGCAGCAAAGAGGAGGCCAGCCAGGCGGCTGCACAGGTGGGGCAGTGTGGATTTGGAGCGCTTGGGCTGGGTTCAACGGCGGTTTATATACCTGAAAAAGTTATGGGAAACAAGAAAGAACCACAAATGGAGGGTCAATTCCCCATATATATTCTTGGTCATTGCATCCATATACATACATATTTTATGTACCAAATTAAACCACGTTATTTATTAGGTTGAACCACTATTTTTGATGGTTATGGCATTGCCATTTTTAGACATCTCCGGTGATGTTTTCCAGGCCTCTGCTGCGAGAGTAGAGACGACTCAGGTGGCAGCGCAGGCGAGGGAACGGGGGAAGGAACATGGTTTCCTGGCCTTGTCTCTATCTATCTATCGATCCATCGATCCATCTATCTATCTATCGATCGATCTATCGATTCTATCGATTCTATCGATTCTATCGATCGATCGATCTATCTATCAATCTTTCTTTCTTTGATTACACATAGATACATTAAACATCAATGTTGCATGATATCTTTGGATTGATTTCACCTACCGAGGCAGCAGAATCTCGCGCTGCCGCTGCAGAACAGGAGCTGAGTCTCCTGCGCCAGGTGCGCCTGGTTCCCCATGGGGAGATTTTGTGGAAGATGATGGGAATGATGGGATGATGTGGATTCAGAATGAGTAATGATTTTCCAGATTTCCATGGATGATGAAAATGAGTCCTGGAAATGTGGGATTTTCCAGATTTCCATGGATGATGAAAATGAGTCCTGGAAATGTGGCTGGTAATGTTTGGGAGTGGTGGTAATGTGGCTGTTGCAGCTTCGGCTTCTGTTTGTGTGCTGTTGTTGCAGTGCAGCTGATTTACTGTAACGACTGTGTACTGGCAGTGTTCGATTTCTTGTTTAGTTCAGACCTCACTGGACCATTTGGAGACTTGGATCAGAATGCAAAACATCTGCTGATTTTATCAAGAATTTGACACATGTGTTTCTTAAAACTTGATGAAGCCAGACTGTATGCTGTGATGAAACCTTTCCTACCCAAAAATCACAAGAAACAGGATGTAACTCGAAGGGTATGGAGATCAGGATGCAGAATCATAGATATGAATATGCATGCACCACAAACCGAAGTTTATAGATTATAGATGGATGCATGTACACTGTAACTACTCAAAATTATCGAATATGCCAGAGATGTCGAAAATCGAGAACCTGGAAATCAAGAGGCGAGAATCATCCACAGCATCCTGGAAACACGTTTCGATCTTTTTGGGTACCCGGCCTGGTAAACTAACATAGCTATGGAAAATCACAATTTTTCATGGGAAAATCCACTTTAAATGGCAATTTTCAATAGCTATGTTAGTTTACCAGAGGGTACCCCGAAAACATCATATCACACAATGCAAGATATCTAGTCGTTTTCAAAGGTACCCTGCAGAATGGTGAACCAATGGCCATCATAGGAGCTGAAGACTGCGTTGGCCACGCTGGCGGAAACTGAGGTAGGGCCCAGGGTGTGCCGATAGCAGACATCTCTGACATTTTGACGAAGAACAATTGGTAATTCGCCAGCAAAGATAGGAATTCAAACTATCAAGAATAGGCGGGATATGATGGGATCTAGAATGGATACATACAGGCATACATACATGATTTGGGCGTGTTTGAAAATTACAGATCCACTCGACATCATGGATCTTTTAGTAGAGAATGGAAGGTTTCAGACCATTGGAGTCTGGGGTGCCATATTTTGATCAGAAACTGTCCATTTTTTTAGGTGCAACTTGAACTCTGTGCGCACGTTGAAGATATTGCATGCTGGAAGGGTGGCATTTTTTTTTGGAAAACACTAGACATGAAGGATCTATCTGATTCCTACAAGACATCGTCAGAGTTTTTGCAAACATTCCCTCGACAATTCCCCAACCTTTCCCGAAAAGATCTGGGAAATCACCTCTCATGTGAGGCAGCTGCTACTGCCACCCGCATGCAGCTGGAGCCCTTGGAGAAGGACACCTGGAGTCTGAGATGGTCAGCCCAGGGGGAAGACACCCAAACAAATCGATGGTGTTCGTATCCTCATTTTTTAGCCATGAAAAATATGAAAATAAACAGAGACACTGTTCCAGTCTTCGTTGCAGGTGGGCAGAAAAAAATTCGGAGCACCTTCAATTTAAGGCTCCAAAAACCACTCCCTGAATCCACCTTTGGGATGCAGATCCAGTTCCGATTGGATATGTCAGCATACAGGGGTCCCATATCTTCACTGTTGCGGATGATCATTTACCCTCTGGTAAACTAACATAACTATGGAAAATCAGCACTTTTAATGGACAAATCAACGAGCGAAATTGCCATTTTCAATAGCTTTTTGTATGTTTACCATGCCGGGTATATTCCTATCCCATTGAATCACGATAGAATCCCATTAAACCACTATAAAACCATACAAAACCCATTGAATACCATGAATTATATTTACCAGAGGGTATGATTCATAGTCACGAAAAATCGCGGCACCTCCAGGAGATGAGGGGCTTCGGCCAAGCGCACGAAGCGGAGCTGGAGCTCTTACGCGAGGACCGGGGTCCTTTGGGCACACTGAAAGTGTGCGCCAAACGCGTGCGGAGTTTCTGACGTGAAAGCCTTGTTTGGGGGATGACAAAGCCTACCCTCTAACTGCACATATACTGTAACTGTAACTGTATGTATGTATATATATATATACAATTATATAGATATCATATTCCCAATTATTTGTTATGACCATAAGGGTACTGATCGGGTTTTGACCCCCACATGTGGAGTTGAAGCCCTGGGGATTTAGTGGTGAAAGCTGGGGTGTTCATATCCTTTTGATGGGTTCAGACTCGGAATGGATGGGGCTACACCTCTTCTGGAGGAATGTTGAGAGCTGGTGGCAGCCGGCAGGAGAAACATATTTCAGTGTGACGTGGCAAAACCGCCGTGCTGTGCCGCAGGAACAGCAGAAGCGCACGGAAGCACATGCCCAGCATGTGAAGGACGCCAATGGCTCTTCCAGTCGCTGCTAGGGGCCACTTGGATATGGATCAATACCAAATAACCCCCAACTTGGGTTGAGGAATAATCTCGACATGTACCATGTACACACATATATATGTACATATACATATATAATCATATATATATATATATTCTCGACATGTACCATGTACACACATATATATGTATATATACATATATAATCATATACATATATATATACATACACCCTTCTGTTCATATTTGGGATGTGAACCAAAGGGTAGCAGGGTTTTCGTTCATTTGCACTCAAAGTGAGCGCGTTCAATAGGCAAATTATTCAAGAGGTGGGAGGTTGATTGGGTGGTCAAGTTAGCTACACTGCTCATTTGTAGCAGCCGCTTTCCAATTCCACTAACAGCGGTCATTAGTCATTAGTCTCATATCGCCACTTAAGTGTCTCTAGAGCACCAGAGTCTCACCAGGAGTTAGAACAGCGCCTGGAAGTGCAGCAGCAACAGGTGCCTGCTGAAAAATCGAGCTGGGCATCCTGTCCGACATGAAGAGTTCGTGGTCTCTGAAAGGCGAACCCTTCTAACAACATCATGCACAAAGTTATCAACAGTTCAGATTACAGATTATATATAGGTACATCTATTGTGTTGAGCTTATAATATATCTACAATATATATACATATATAATATACATCTATTGTGTTGAGCTTATAATATATCTATCTACAATATATATACATATATAATATAAATATATATAGGTACATAGGTACATCATATTGTAGAGGAAATATGTATTGAAGTATGTTCCACCCCAAACATTTTTTTCCTTCTACAGATAGAGAAACGTGGCTGCCGCGTGAACATGTGTGGCCAGGCTGCTGAAGAGCTGCAAAGACAGCAGGAGGAACTCCAAAGGCCGGAGGGTCCGGCAGGGTTCGGCAGGGCTTGGAGTCCCATTTTGGGGACTTGTTTCACTCAATGGATTGGATTAAGGGAAAATTTACAGGAAACCATAGATTTTCCCATTAAATACAGGGCTTTCCTGTAAATTTCCCCTTAATCCAATCCATTGATTCACATCACCAAAAAAAGGTCGTACCTGTTGGAGATTTTATGATCTCCCCATTAAAAATCTGGGTGATGTGAAAAATTGGGAGATTTTCAGAAGAAACGCTGTTTGTAGAAAAGCCACCGACGATGGGGTTATCTTTGGGATATATTTGGGGTTATCATGTGGGATATAACAAACTAACAATATGTGATTTTGGTTTGTTAATCATCAGGGACCTCCGCCCAAAAAAATGATAGTTGAGACACTTATTTTCCTCAGCACAGTCGCATTTTGGATTCCCCATTTTGGTAAAGACAATTTCAGAAATGAATGGTTGACTAGTATCGACTCTAAACAGTTTTGTTGGGGAACTTTGCATTCACATTCTGAATATTCTGATGAGTGTCTGACGGCATTCCGGAAGCATCAACAGTAAGCTTTCTGATGCAGTGTTTGAAGGAAGTATCTCTTGGTAGTGCAGTAACTTTGCAGTTGGTTATGAACCGCTGGTCAGATGAGAACAACAAAGAGTTTGCAAGGGTCAATAGGTTTGGAGCGTACCCCAACTACGGCATTGATGTTAGGTTTGTTTCATTGAGGGTTTTTCACGTTAAAGGTAATATGGCGGTACTGGTTTTGGGGATTCCTGGTTGATTGATCAACCCGTGCGAAAAATCCAGGGTTTCCACGACCTACCGATGAGGTCGAAAGAGGCTTTGGTGGAAGCGCAGGTTCGGCTCCGGCACAGCCTTGAGACTGGTTTTGGTTGGACCAACCTCGGTTCGCCAGTTTGACAAGCAGCAAAGTTTGATGGTCCCTCACTTCGAGACATTATTTGGAAGTGCAAGCCATCCATTTTTTCAAGTGCTATCCATCTACAGAGCTTCACCCTGGTTGCATCCGTATCAATTGGAAATCAAAGCCAGGTCTTTGCTTATTTTTAACATTCCTATCCAGCGGTTAGGAGGGAGTGGTTGGGAGCTAGTGGGAATACATATTCCCAATAAAGATTGGGGAGCCAAGGAGCTACGACTTGGGTTTCCCAACCACGCAATATAACCTTTAATCATTTTATCTCCTAGAGCTGTATGGGAACAGCACAGCAGCGTGGGTTCTTTTGGACCTCGGACCTCGATAGAACCTCGATCGGATCCCGCTTGATTATGCAGAAATCCGGCTTGCCAATGCCTTGCTGGATGTAAGTGCAGCTGGATATGGTTTCATGTCGCGTTGCCAATAGGATTTGTTCCTCTGCGCGAAACAAGCAGTTGTCTTGTTCCAACCAGTTGAGGAATTCATTTTTGAAGCGTTCGCAATGGGAAACCCATATTCCCTGTACATGAAAACCATAGTGCAACTGAATATGGGTTGATGTAGCGTTGCCAATAGGATTTGTTCGTCATAGTGCTTAAATTTTTAAATTCAACCCTCAAGAAACAGTTTTTTTTTGCAATGGTGGGTCTTGCGTTTACAATGGGGGATCCATGTCCCGGCAGGCGTTCACAATGGGGGAAGGAATTGGTGTGACTTTTCTGGACCTGTGGAGGGCGGAGTTCCATGCGGGGAAGGAACTGAGAGCAAAGTTGGTGGGACTTCCGGGTTCCATGTCGGGTAGGTGACAGCTGAAGCCGCCGCGCTGGAGGCTCGAGCAGTGAGGCGAGGGCAGGGCGAAAATATTTGGAGGGTATTACAATTCAGCTTTCAGTCCTCAGATTTTCCCAAAAACAATCCATGAAAATTGAGATACCACAGGGTGAAATTTTGGTTTCTTGAATCGATTCCCTCCAAGTTGCTGGATATTCCCTCCAAGTTGCTGGATATTCCATAGATATTCCATCGATCTCTTCAAAAGTGGTGGAAGGTCCGAGGACGCCAAAATGCCAGGATGGAGGCTGCCTCGACTCATGCGGAGCCCAATGGTGCGACACCTGGGTATCCCACATTTAAAGTCCGCTGGTTCTGTCCCCATTGTCGGGTATTCCATTTTTTTTCTTGGATCTCATCAATTTGATGGATATTTGGTGGTTGGTTCTATCCAAAGATTTGTTTTGATATTAGTATTGACTATGAGTATCAGCCATATGGGATGGGTGAACAGTACCCAAGATCAGTTCCGCAGTTTTCCAAGGCGATATCTTGGACGACCAGCTGCTGCGTGTGGAGGAAATCGGTGATGGGTGCTGTATGGATCAAAGGATTGTTTTTTCAAAGAAAACCCATGTTTTTATTATATTCATTTGTTTTTTTTCCCGAATGCGTAGCAAGGGTTCCCGTTTCACTCTGGGGGTTTGCAGAAGCCTCGCGCCAAACATCGATTTTGAGGTCGTAGATTTTGGAGTTCATGAGAAAACTCATAGGAAAGCGTCGACTTTGTAGCTACAAAGTGTGAACAATTCAGGAAGTCTCGCACGAAACGCTCGTTTTGAGGTTCCAACATGTCTTGTTTCGATTCTCTGGTTCTCTTGTAGCGTCGCCGTGTCTATAAGGGAAGCTGCAAAACCTGTCATCTTCGAAGGTGTCCAAACAGGTTCAATGTCGTTTTGCGTGGCAGGCGTGGCGCGTCGTGACATTCTCAAATGTCTGCATAATGGTGTCGAAAGTCGTTTTGTGTGACAGGCGCAATAGTTTTGCAAGGTTTTCAGAAGCTGACTTTCATTTTTCGTGGCATGTGCAGCACTTTGGACGTGTCCATGTTCATTTTGCGTGGCAGGCGCAGCACTTTAGACGTGTCGTGTTGCCTTGACAAACATCGTTCGGGCCCAGACCGGGCGTGCTGCTGGCATGGATGGTTGGAGCGGCAATGAGATCGCTTATCTCCCACCTCCTGTGCTGGAGCATGTGCAACATTGTTTCGCCTTGTTTCAGCAGCATGGCTTTGTTCCTACCACTTGGACTTACATTAAACAAGTTCATGTACCCAAGTCTGCAAATTCTGTCCAAGCCCGTGATTGGCGGCCTATTGCAGTGATGTCGATTTGGTATCGTGTATGGAGTGGATCACATTTCAAATCAGCCCAATGTCAGCAGTGGCTCCGGGGCTGGCTCCCTGCACAGGCCGTTGGTGGCCGTCGTGGAGGCGAAGTTTACGATGCCCTGTGCCAACTCGATTTTCACCAACATGCAATTTCCTTGGACTTTAGTTTGGCGTTTGACCGCGTGCATCCTCGCCTTGCCCTGGGAATTTTTGCCGCTCTCGGCATGAATGCTGCAGTTCTAAGGATCCTTGAGAATGTTTGGTGTCACCAACAGCGTTTTTTGACCCTGGATGACCAAGTCCTTGACCACCCAGAATCTGTTCAAACCAGCCCTCCACAAGGAGATAGCGTTAGTTTGATGGCAATGCTTGCTGTGCTTGTGGGACCCACACATGACCTGGTGGCTCGGCACCCACAGGTCACTTTACGCACATTTGTCGATGACCGCACCTTCACAGGTCCGGCTGCTTCTGTTTTAGCTATGAAAGATAATTGGAGGCAGTGATGCCTTGGGCTTGGTTGAAAATCAAGCGAAAACCATCCATTTCCATCGCACACAAGCCGGTCGTGCCGCTTTTCGAGCATTAGGTGTCCCTGCTGATGCCATTTCCACCAACCCCAAAATTTTGGGTTGTGAATTGAAACCTGCACAAGGACGTGTCTCTACTCAACGTGAACAAGATCGGTTGCGGGACAGCGTCCACTATATTCGCAAAACGCAGTTCCTACCCCTGCCATGGCAGCGCAAGCGAGCCTTTGTTGTTGGCCAGGGGCTTTCGAGAGCTGCGTGGGGTTGGTTTTGGCGCTTGCCAAATAAATCTGACATGAACAAAGTCCAGACAGCTGTCAAGCGGGCGCTGGGCGAATCACCAGTGGCATCAAAGCATCTGCAGCACATCGCTCGAGGTCATGGTGCACACTTACAATTTCGCATTGTCTCCGATTTGCTGCGTGTGGCATGGAGACAAGCCCTTCGCCGTCAGAGCATTCCTGGCCCGTGGAATTCCATGTGGGCCAAGAACCTCACCAGAGCCCTTGCTGTTTGGGGATGGAAGCCATCGCAGCCCTGGCATTTCCATCACAATGAGGCAGGTTCATTTGCCCTCACGGGCACCCAGATGCGCCGCCTTGACCACATCCAACACGATCTTCGCGAAAGTTGGCGTCGGTGGCACTACAACCAGTGGTCCTTTGGAAGTCGCCGCGATGCCAGCGGTGCACCTTTCCATTCTGACCGTTTGCAGTGGATCCGCAGCAAAGCGGCGCAATGCAGAGATTATTTTCAGGTCCTCACTGGGGCCTTCATTAGCCCTGCGTGTTTTCAAACCATGCGGAAGGAAGACTTGCAACATTGCCCCTTCTGCAACAATCCGGAAGTTGTTCCGACCCAGGACCACATCATTTGGTTTTGTCCAGGAAATACTTTGCATGAGCCAAGACTTCGCTTATTGGGATCGTCTCCTTTCCCCGCTGACAGCTTGAGCTTTGTGCAACATCGATTGGCTTGGCCAGAGAACCCTTTAGGGAGCCCAAACAATGACATGATCCTGACATGGTTCGTTGCTGCGCGACGAATCATTTTGGACCATCGGTGGCAGTGAGGGGATGGGGGCTGCATGCGCTCCCGTAAGCATGCAGTCTTGCAAGTTTGTTGTTGTTGACGTGTCGTGTTGCGTGTTTTTTTTTGCGAATTGCATTGTCAGGACTGCAACAAGTAGTGACAAGGTGCAAATTCCGTGGCAGGCGTGGAACATTGCGAGAGTCATGTTGCATGGCAGGGGCAGTATTTGGTGCAGATCTGTTGAGTGTGGAAAGTCATTTTGCGTGGCAGGCGCAGTATATTTGGGACACTTTATACTCTACACTCCATCTACACTCCACACTTTACACTCTGCACTTTACACTTTAAACTTCACTCTTTACACTTTAAACTTTAAACTTCACTCGTTACACTTTGCACCCCACACTGTACACTCTACACGTGACACTCCAGACTGTACACTCTCCACTCTCCCACGCGCCATGCATTGACATGCATTGACTTTAAATGATCCAAATTGAACGCCAAGTTTCTTTGACCTTTCTGGCATGGATCCAAGGATGTGGGGAAACTCCGAAACGCAGCCCCAGCCACTAATCAGGAACAGGATACCGCATGAAGGATTTGCCGGCACTGAGGTGGACTTGCTGGGATGTTTGGGGCGGATTGGAGCCGGCCGAGCACTTCAGCAGCGCCTCCAAGGCAGGGTGCTGTTTCTGCGATGGCAGGATACTACCACAGCACAGCACAGCTCTCGCCTAGGTATTGCTGCGGAGGAAGGATGCCAATGCATCGTCCTCCAAAGCCTGCCCGACCCAGATGCGGCGGGATTTTGGAGTGCTGGTGGCTTCAAGATGGCCGCATTTGTCGGCTCCTCATGCCCCTTGCGGGTTGTTGACGGTTACAGCGAAACAATGCTAAACAATGTTACGCAGAAGTGGCACACCACTCACTCGCATCAAGGCCAGCGCCGCAGAGCGTGCCTCACTGCCGCCTTCAACATGGCGGTGGCTGTGCGTCTTCGATGCAGTTGAGATAACGTGATACTGCACCGCATTGGTGATGTTTTTGTGCACGTACTTCGCCACGAGGTCAAGCAGATCGACAGCAGCTTCTGCGCATGTTCTGGCTGAGCTCCGCCGAGGACATAGCATACTTTACACTCTACACTCTACACTCCGCACTCTACACTCTACACTTTACGCTCCACACTTTACATTCTACACTCTACACTCCGCACTCTACACTCTACACTCACTCCACACTCTGTACACTCTCCACTCCACTTTACACTTTACACCGCACACTGACACTTTACACTCCGCACCCCACACTTTACACTTTTCTACACTTCCACACTTCACACTCTACACTCCACACTCTTCACTTTACACCCCACACTTTACACTCCACACTTTACACTTTACACCCCGCACTCTACACTTTACACTTTCCACTTCACACTTTACACTCCACACTTCACACTTTACACTCCACAATCCCCACTTCACACTCTACACACTACATTCCCCACTCAACACTCCACTTTGTTCACACTTCGCGCTTTGCACCACCCCATTCCCCATTCCACAGTCTACAACGCACTTGTACAGCAACAGGGAGAAAATGTACAAGACTGCTCAAATAATTTGTTTCACAAAAGTGTTCTACGTGACTGCTTTCGGGTTCGTGGGCTGCATCTTGTTTTTTTCCCTACCATGAAGAATAAGAGTCTCCTGTAGGTTTTCCCCTCAACCAATTCTATGAACGCAGCAAGCGCAACATCAACATCAACACAAGCATCAACATTGTGATCATCAGAATCATGATCATCGCCACCATCACCAGAATTCCCTTTCAAAACCAACAAGGATCAATGATGGGCGAGGCTAGGTGTCATTACAACTTTGGACCCACATCACTTTGGGATTGTCGGCTTCTTCCTGGTGCTTGTCATGTGAGGGTGAAACAAAATCACCAAGAAAAACCGTAGACATCAAACACACTCTTGCAAGAGTGGAACATCAGTCACACTAACAGTCAGGTTATCCGATCAACATTATATACCGTTGATCAGTGTTTATTTATATCACCAACTGGGTCTTCTTCCATTCAGCTGGACAAACTTCTCAGGAAGTCGCCATGCCGGTGGCCAAGGCAAACTCGGGCGAAGTGTGGACCTTGGTGCCCAATTCTGTGGAAAATAGAGAATGGATTGACCCTATCGGATAAGACTCAAACTAATTAAACTTCAGATTCTGATTCGAATCTGAGATTAGAACATTTCAGGCTAGGGTCAAGATATATAGAAACACCCTTTCGTGGAAAAACATGCTTTCTTGGGTGTTTCTTGATAGCTGGAAGGGATTGTTGATGGCTTTAGCAGAGGGGAAGGAACCCCCTTTGCACCTCGAGATCTCTCATTTCACCAGAGGTCCTGGGTCTGCAAAAGCGCATTGACTTGCTGGAGAACAGGTGCCCTGGTCTTCCCAGAGCTTGGGATGGTGGAATTCTCGAGCCAATTTGGCTCACCAGAGAAACAGGAGCATTGGGACCATTGATGAGGCCTTGGGTCAACCTTAGTTTTTGATAGTTTTTGAATATCAGATATATCAGATGCAACGCTGAAACTCTTCGAAATGCCCGCGCTCTGGGTGCCAGGTGCGCCAGCTTGCAAAGGCCTGGTGGCAGTTGGCCCAGCAGAGAGAGAGAGATTGAATCCTTGGAGGATTCAAGGGCCCTGTCGGCCCTGTGCTGTATATTTCAACTTTTGCCGTGCTTTGGTTGACTTGAAAAGAACATCACCATCAATTTCGTTTCGCTCTTAAACCCATTCCATCCCCACAGGAACCGTTATCCCCTTTCCCAGGCGGCTGCAGAGCCAAGAGTCAGTGATGAGCACTGCGCCGCTGCGACCCAGTTGGGAACTGAAGCTGGCGGCCGTGGCAGGACTGCTCCAAGAGGTGCCCAATAGGGGAGAGATCCAGCCCAACGAAACCAAAGATGCGAAAGAGTCAAAGTGGATTTATGACATGTAATCATTGACTCTCTCTCTCTCTATATATATATATATTAGTGAGTCTGAGTTTACCACATTAGAGTATGAACTTCGATTTGTCCAAGATGTTGCAGGATGATTGAGATTGTTGAAAGATCATGATCTTAGGGCCCCCCCTTGACATCCCTTGACATCCCTTGACATCCCTTGACATCCCTTGACAATTGACTCGTTAGGACCTTATGTGACAGCTGTGGTGGTGACCATTCACCGCCTTGCGCTGGGCATGTTGAGGGGCTTCCTGGAGCTCTGGGCGGAAAGGCCTTGGGCTTTGGAGCTTAAGTCATGGGGTAAGTAGAGGAAGTAGTTGGGGATATTAAGCCTACCAGCCTTGGCTTGATATGTGTTGGTTTACACATCGCTGACTATTGTTGGGGATGAACATTGAATCCCTTGCCCATTTTACTGTGCCTCCAATAGAAAGCCTGGTCCTGTGGCTCCCACCAGGAGAAACTACTCAAGAGCGAAGCGTGGCTGTGGGTCTTCTATGCACGGAACCCAGGGATGTAACTGGCAGAAACTGGGGATGTATTTAGGAAAAGTGAGAAAAACCTGATGATTTTTTCAAGAGGCATTGTGGAATATAAACTCACATCGGATGAACATTCACCAGAATTGCTGCCCTTTTTTTTTCCATCCCTACACATGACTTGAGCAAGTCACAACGGTGGCGCCCTTTTTTCCCATCCGAGGCTCATCTGTTGGTGCTTTATGCCATTGCTGCTTCCTCTTCACTGCAAACCACTGCGGATGCCGGGCGTGGCTCGTCGAAGTCGGAACTGCCTTATGACTTGAGGCTTTTTGGTTTGAACTGGACTAAAGCCGGATGGAGAAACCAGCAAAACTTTTTGTTGCTCAGAGGAACATCACCAGTTGAAGCACCTAGAAGCGCCCAGAGGAACAACTTCCGGAACAGGTGGTCAAACTCCCCCAAAAAGCTCCCAGGAGGAGCGGTGGATTCGCTGAATGCGCAGCTGGCCTCCGCAGGTGCTGGAGGACCAGGTTATACGCTGTCATTTGAAGTGGGTACTTGGATGTGCATCCAAAAAAAACAAAACATACGTTAGATCCACATATCCATATATCATATCATATACAGATATGTATATATGTATGTGTATATATATATATAGTAAGTGGTTTAGAACCCATCATATATGTATATATATATATATAGAATTATATAGGACTAATGATAACCAATATATATATATATATATATATAGCTGGGGATATAGGCCATATCTAAGTGGGGGTATATACGGTATAAGCGTTGTTACTAAGTGGGGCCCGCACCCCGAAGTAAACAGGTGGTTTCCGGGTAAGACACGTGCAGGAGCTCCAGCCTTGAGAGGCGGCTAGCAGGAACTTCCGGTGCCCTGGAATCAGAGGAGGGAAGAGGGAAAAACATGTGGAAAAACCTGATAAAAAGTCAGAAAAAAATAATATATATATATATATAGAATATTATATTATATTATATATATATGTATATTGTTATTATATATATATATATACACACATCTTTTTCATTCTTTTTCCATGGTTTCACCTAGTTTCACCTAGATTCTCCCGCTATTGATGTTTGGTGCAATTTTAAGTGGCAAAAATGGACGAGTTCCCCATGGCACCTGGCCAGTTTAGACGATGCAAAACGATGTTTGACTCGATTTTCGCTGGTTGGCACGGCCGAAGAGTTGCCGAGCAGGCCAGTTTGTACATAGATATCATAGATCTTAGAGCTGTCCCAAAGTTGGTGTGGTTTCAAACGCGCCGTGGGATGGAGGTTTTGTGAAGCGATCTTTTGGGAGCATGGGAAGGCCCCAAAATCCAAGCGGGCCATACTCCATTGAGATGTTTGGATGAAATGAGTCGAAATGAGTCGACACCTTCAGGGTCCATCTCCGACCTGGTGTGGCTAGTGTTCTCCATCACTTTCTTGCCCTCCGTCCTGTCCTGGACATTTGTTGTGCAATTGGCGTGTCGATGGCTCAAAATGGTTGGCCCCACGGATGGACAAGGAAGAGTAACTAGATGAAGTCGTAGACAACATGATGCAGGCAACATTTCTGTTTAATTACGATCAAGTCCGGGATAGAACATCTGCTTAAACATGCTTAAACATTCACCTGACCTCCAGCTCTTTGAAACCATAGGAAGCCTGGAAATACTAGCAGTTAGCACTTTTTCAACTCCACAACCATTTTGCGGAGCAGATTTGCATCTGTTGCTTCACGTTGGGCTTCTCTGAGAGCCATGCCGTGGGCTGGCAGGGTCGGGTTCTTGATGACGGCATTGATACCACGTATTCTCTGAACACCCTGAAAATGACCCAACAAAAGCAATTGACCCATACACGGACACCGAATCAACCAATTGCCTGATTTTTCCTTTTTTGGGGTTGCGATATATTTAACCGTTCATTTCCCATTTGACTCCTCCAGTTGTGTCACTTTCTGCTCCATGGACCCGCTGGCATCAGGTTCAGAAGACATGCTTCGCCAGAGCGATGGCGGCGGTTTTGATCTGCCGTCAGCTCAGGGTCCTCAGGTGGAACTGAAAGGATGCTTTTTTGTAGACAGACAGTTGACATGTGTTGAGAGGGTCTTCCAAGCTTCGGAAGAGATCCCGATGTGGGATGATCGCTGCATGGCAACATGGCCCAGGTCTTCCAAGCTTTGCCTTCGTTTCTTTGCCCTCACAGGCAGGCACCACATGGCCATGGCATGGCGTTGAAAGAAGGGAACATGCCAGGCCATCTCCTTTGGGCGGCTCTGTGGGCCGCAGCTTGAGGCAGCGGTGGATTTAAGAATCTGTGGGCCTATGGGGATAGACTGGGGATATCTAAGTCTAGACTAGCCCTAGTTGGTGGTTTCAAGTATTTTTTTACCCCAGTGATTGTTGGGTTTCGGCTGAAGGAACCCTGGAACCCTGGAACCTGCTGTTGGCTGGCAAAGCTGGCTTAATGCTCAACCCTATTTCGAATAATGGCCACCAATGCCGAACCTATTTTTCAGGGTTGAAGCTATGAAACCACCAACCAGTAGATCTTTGGGCAAACCTCGTGTCCAAGGACCTAAGAAATTTGCCCTTTGCACGGCAAAGAATCGGAGCATTGTGAAAGATGATTGCGGACCCGCCGATGGTTGAAATTGCCAACTCAACTTAGGATAACTTAGTTGCATATATTTCATCTTAGGATAACTTAGTTGCATTAAAACTCAACCATATGGGATTTAAAAACTTGTTGCATATATTTTCCATTCTGCAATGGCTCTGACTATTGAATCATAGAACTGAAGCCAAGTTTGACACGCTGTTGGACTCAGTGGGACTAAAATGGTGGTGCCCCCCAGTCATCCATAGATTGGGATGTTCCATGAAACAAATAGTTATAGTTAACTAGTTATAGTTATAGATATTCAATAGTTATAGATTTATCATCCATTTATAGTTATAGATATAAATAGATCATCTATTTTGGTGTAACCTCATGGCCATGGAAACAAATTACCAGAGGCTATGTCCCATGAATATCCCATTGAATCACTATAAAATCCCAGTAGATCATGACATAAATCCCATTGAACAGCCCAATGGAAACCCCATGGCCATGGACCTCGGGAAAGCAACAAAAACCACAGGCACCTGGACGAAGGGCGACAGCCTTGTCGGCCACCTTGAGCTGGACCCCTTGGAGGTGGGAAGTCGAGGGCTGTGAAAATGGGAGGATACAATGGTGATATAATTGGGATATATATATACACGTATATATATATATATATATATCACTACTCTCTCTCTCTCTATATATATATATACACATATATATATATATTTATATATACATATAATATTTAACATATACGCACACTTATATGTATATATATATATATTATTTATCTGCATATACAACTAGCACTATGGTATATTAGTGTCTGAAAATGGGGGATTCCGCCGGCAATTTTTTGCATGCGGAAAATGATGATTAAGCATCTCAAAGCTGAGGCAGGGTTTTGACAATTTTTGGAGTTGTGTTAGCCACCATTTTTGTTTGTGCACACCCTATGATGGTTGGGTATGTTCGCACTTTAATTGGTACATGTTCTTTATTGGGTTGTTTTCGTTTTTCGGAAAATCGATTTCTCACCCTGATATGTAATCCCTGTTATAGTACCCCCCTAAGAGGATAGATAATTGACTTACAAACTATCTTAGCAAGTGTCAATTTATTATAGTTTGTAAGTCTATTATTGAATAACCCCCAAATCTATAGATTCTCCTTTTCTGTCTCTTTAGTGGTCGCGATTTTCAGAAATCATCCCACCTCCCGATGCGCCGATGCGCAGGACGCAAGGCACGATGATGGAGCGCCTGAGTCCACGCGAGTGGCTCCGCATGTGCCCACCTCGAAGAACGGGTGAAACTGGGGGATTTCACCACATGGCCATGTCTCATGGAGAGATGAACGGTCTCAAATTTGGAGATGGCATGGAATACCATACTTTAGACAAAGCCATCTGATGATCCCGAACTCCCGTGCAGTCTGGAATGCTCCAAAGATCTTTGGAGAATATCATCTCGAAGTGTCTTTTTCCATCTTTTTCCCATGTTTGGCAATTGAAAAAAGGATATTTTGTGGATTTGTGCGGTAATCGATCATAACTATTACGCATTGCCAATTTTTGGATGACTTTCCCATAAGCATCGCCATTTTTTGCGGGTTTTGACAGCCATGTCGGCATGTCGGCAGGTATCGCATCCTTGGGCTTTCTGAGGATGCCACGAAGGCGCAGGTGACGAAAGCAGCCTCGCGGCTGCGAAGGAAATATGCTGAGGATGAGGTGCAGCCGGTGTCGGTGGGAGCCAAGCCGTTGATGAATCGCTATTGGTTTGACTCTAAGATCATTGGGGATGACTTAGGGCCTAGGAATGGCTAGGGAAGCTCTGGACAGTTGAAAGTTGCAGCTTTTTCGGTTGAAATGTGGGGGTGACACCTGGACAACTTCCTGAAAGAAATGGAGCCTGGGGTTGGAGCCTGGAATGGGAGGAGGGATCCCTGGGTCTAAGATGGTCCTTGCACCAACATGGATGATTTCCTGCAAGTCAATGTATCATGGTTATCTCAGCTATTGATTTCCGGTTTGTGGTCAATTATGCCATTGTTATAGCTGGTTATATCATTACATCCCTTATTAAGGTTATCTCTCTATCTATCGATCTATCTACTACAGTATCTATCTGAATCTATCCGAATCTATGTATCCGAATCTATCTATCTGAATGAATCTTTCTCTGAATGAATCTTTCTCTGAATGAATCTTTCTCTAAATGAATCCATCCGAATCTATCTCTCCGAATCTATCTCTCCGAATCTATCTATGAATCTATCTCTGAATCTATCTCTGAATCGATCTATGAATCTATCAAAGAATCTATCTATGAATCTATCTATGAATCTATCTATGAATCTATCTATGAATCTATCTATCTATCTATCTATCTATCTTTCTTTCTATCTTTCTATCTTTCTATCTTTCTATCTATCTATCTATCTATCTATCTATCTATCTCTCTCTCTATATATATATATATAAAATAGGTATCCCTCGTGTATTTATCCGTATTCTAGTTCACTAAATCATATCCCCAAGCGTTTTGCTTTCAATGTCACGGAGCCAGGATTCCTTGCAACGAGTGGAGACAGCCAATTTGTGGATCATGACGAAGTTGTTGAGCGAGCCAGGCATCTCAGGTGATTTTTCCCAAGTTGAACTGGTGGATAGGGATACCCTCTGGTTATGTCAAAATAGCTATTGAAAATGGCCATTTATAGTGGATTTACCCATTAAAAATGGTGATTTTCCATAGCTACGTTAAATTACCAGAGGGTAGACATCTTTTATATCCATTGGGGGCTCATTGTAAGGTGCCTGGGGGCTTCCCACTGACGTGCGAGGGGTGCTCGGTTTCTGAATGGCTCAAATTCTTGGGATCATTTCTATTTTCTTTGGGACTTTTAATGTAAGGCACTTGAAAACTACACAACTACATTACCCTCTGGTAATTTAACGTAGCTATTGAAAATGGCCATTAATAGTGGATTTTCCCATTAAAAATGGTGATTTTCCATAGCTATGTTAGTTTACCAGAGGGTAATGTAAGGCACTTGAGATTCAACCTGAAAAAAACAACACGTTGGCTGATGGAGATCATCTCCGACGATTCCATGGTCCCAATGGTCCTATGAGTTGCCCAGAACGACCAAGGAAGGAGGAGGCCCTGAATGCCAAGCAGCAAGCGAACCGCTTGAGGGAACTGGGAGATTCCCCTCGCAGGCGCCAGCTGCTAGTGCTGCTAGTGGTTAGGAGCCAAAAGTCTGGGTGGGTCCCTGGGCAAAAGGACAAGCTGGAGAATGTTTGAGTTTTGGAGGGGTTTAGTTTCTAGAGGTCTGAAAAAAGTAACACATGTTTCTCCACGATGTTATAGAATGTTGTAGATGATTCGATCGGGAGCTGCAATTGATCAGTTTATACCACAATCTTCAACGTCAAGACCTAGAACCTTGTCTTGGGTGCTGGGATAAGAAATGGACGACATCCAAAGACAAGGACAATTCCTTGCAGACCTCACAGTTTTCGTCTTCATTTGGTCTAGCTGATTTTTCATAAAGGCCACTCCGTGCCACTCCGTGATTTTTGACTCTGATGACGTCATGTGTCACTGTCCTAGCTGGTGGTAGACATCAAATCATTTTTCTACCGTATTGTGAAGAGAAGGACCAGGTTTGTGTGAAATTGGGGGAAACCCCAAATTTCATGGTTTGTCATCCTTTTCCTATCAACATGGCCATATCTTGCTGGGTAAATCCCGCATTTTAAAACTATTAAGACAAAGCCATAGGCCCATAGGTTTCTTCGTGTTTTTTGGCGCCTGGCCAGGCTCTTCCAGAAGTACGTGGCTGGCTACATTCCGCCGGGCGTTCGTCGCATGATGGAACCACCCACCACCAAGCACTTCCGATGGTGGAGCGCTCAGCTGGAAGCTGATTCAGCTGAGTGACAGGATCCAATTTGTACCCTCTGGTTATTTGTTACATAGCCATGGAATCCATGGCCCATTTATAGATGGTTTACCTATTAAAAATTGTGATTTTCCATGGGTATGTTAAATAACCAGTGGGTAGATCAAAATGAAACCCAACAGACAGCATAGGCAGCATAGTCCATGTAGATGTTTTTTGACAAAAAAAAGAACTGCAGCATATATTTGCCATGCTTCAGACCCGGATTATGTACCGATATTAGGGATGGTCATCAAGTCAATTTCATAGGGATTTATACCCATGATGTTTGGATTCCCAATGGGATGGATAACCATAAACAGTATACCACGTAACTTGACCATTGCACGTAATGTCAGTACATCCCATTACATCATTACATCCCATTATATCGCAATTATAAAATATCCCCATAGAATATCCCATACATTGAATATCACACTTCTAATCATATCCCACAGTATAAAACACCCCCATGGCCCATATTTATGATTTCAAATCTGTGTAATTTCCCTAGGTTCACTGGTTTCATAGGGGTTTACCCTTCTGGTAATAAAACATTGGAATGGGGGATCCACCATTGATAGATGTTTTTCAGTTTTTCCAATTCAAACCTCCGTTTATAGGGGATTTCAAAATTTTCCATTGCCAACCACTTTGAATTACTAGAGGATAGTTCCCTTCATCCCCATTCACCATTCTTCATTAACCAACATTCTGAACAATTGATCGACCAAGAACATTATTGATAAGCATTATCCGATCATCATCCCCTGGCTTAGTATTCATCATCATTGACTAACCAACCACCATTGAATCCATTGATTAACCAACAATGATTAACCATTATCATGAACCAACATTTATTAATCAACATGGACATTGATTAACCAACATCATCAACCATTGTCATTAACCATCCTTGATTGACAGGGGAATGTGGCCGCCCAGGGCCAGTGGTTTGATGGGGGCCTTCGCCTTGATGGGCCTCTGCGTGCGGGCCCCGGAAACCGTTAGAAATGTGTGCCATCCGAGGATTTTCGATGAGTTTCATGATTTCTGAAGACTTTTAGTAGTAGATGATGATGATGATGGTGATGATGATGATGTTGATGATGATGATGGTGATGATGATGATGGTGATGATGATGATGATGATGATGAAGCGGATGCGGTAGATGATCGGGATGATGATGAGGAGGAGGATGATAAGGATGAGGAGATGGTGATGATGATGATGATGGTGATGATGATGTTGATGATGATGGTGATGATGATGATGGTGATGATGATGATGGTGATGATGATGATGGTGATGATGATGATGGTGATGATGATGATGGTGATGATGATGATGCTGATGATGGTGATGATGATGATGGTGATGATGATGATGGTGGTGATGATGATGATGGTGATGATGATGACGATGATGGTGATGATGATGATGATGGTGATGATGATGCTGATGATGACGGTGATGATGATGATGAAGCGGATGCGGCAGATGATCGGGATGATGATGAGGAGGAGGATGATAAGGATGAGGAGATGGTGATGATGATGATGATGATAATGATGATGATGGTGATGATGATGTTGGTGATGATGATGATGGTGATGATGATGATGATGGTGATGGTGATGATGATGATGACGGTGATGATGATGATGATGGTGATGATGATGGTGATGGTGATGATGATGATGGTGATGATGATGATGGTGATGATGATGATGATGGTGATGATGATGATGATGAATATGATGATGATGATGATGATGATGATGATGATGATGTGGTTGGCCATTGTCAATACTGGCTTTAATGGCTATTCATGGCTATTAATGGTTAATGATGGTTAATGATGATGATCCCTTCGCCAGGTGCCAACGCAAGCGACTAACTTCATTGGTTTGGCCGCTGCCTCTGCGATGGGTCTTGTGTATCAGGTGTGGTGGCGGCCCTGGTCGCGTTAAGGGCGCGTTCAAGGGGATGGGCTCAAACCTATCAAACCTATGAATTGATATAGAGTGGTTTAATCATGATTTAATGGGATCCAATGGTGATTCAATGGAGGTCATGTGGGACACTGCTTTAATGGGATCCATACGCAAGTACCATTTGGGGATGATCTTATGACCCATAAACATGGAAATTTTGGGGATGGTTTATGGCATTGGGTTTACCACATTAATGGAGATTCATCATAAATTCACTGAGGGCTGCTAAACCTCTGTTGATTGAGAATGATAAACATCATTTTTTGGTGCTTTCAACAGGTTCAACCATCAACATATGAAACCTATGGTGATTTTTTTTTGTGGATATAACTGATCATTGATGATTGACTATATGGGGTTCTAGTACTCGATGTATTGGGGATGAAGATGGGCAGTATATAGCGACCCCACTCATCCTCATTTGGCCGACCTTTTAAGGGGTCAACGTGAAAGAAATTGAAAACTTTTCCCAGAGGTCAGAACCATAACACGGGATTGTTTGATGTGGATAAAGTGGTTGCCTATTTTTCCTTTTTGCCAACTGGAAAAGAACCATGCATTCCAACATTTTTGAACATTTTCCACTATATTTCGCTAGAGATCTGCTGGCTTCTGATCATCCTTCGCTGCTCGCTGCCAGCGCAATCGACCGGAGCCGGTGCGGGACGACATGGGCAACATTGGTGCCGCCGGGAGCCCAATTGTGAAGGCATTGGTTGAAGAACACCTCTGGTTGGTACCGATTGTGTGCAAAAAACATCAAACAAATCATTTCTCTTTTAATTTGCTTTGATTCCTGGATATGGAGTCATGAGTGCCGGAATTTGCATTATACTCTATATTCTCCTGCAGTCTGCATGGGTTACTTGCGTATTTTGCGACCATCTTGGATTTTCTTCCACTTCTTTTTGTTTCCTTCCGCGAAAACCGGAGCGGTCAGACTTTAGCCTGCTGACCTACAATCTCTGATAAGTCCGGCAAATCGGAAGCCCGTCGCTACGCCATATTTTTGAGCTCAAGCTGCAACAGAGAAATCTGTAAGCGATCTGTGACTGGTGCTCTCGCCCCGACGCTTGACGCCATGCCTCGTGAGAAGGACGTCTACTTTGCAAAGCTTGCGGAGCAGGCGGAACGTGAGGAGCTTAGTTGGGCCGGGAGGGCCGGGGCTAGGCTTTCTGCAGTGGTCAATATCAGTTTTTTTCCCCACCTGCCAGGTGAGCGTCGATTTTAACAAGACTTCCCGGAAACGAAGGAAGAAAGGAACGAATGAACGAAGGAACGAACCCACACGCCCGCAGCATGTGTTTGCCAGCCTCTGCACAGCCACTGCATGGCGAGCTCGCCAGCTCTCTGGGGCGCGCCTGGCCCGAACCTTGTACCAGATAGAATGACAGATAAGTCAGATAGACTTCCAGACAGA